GACCTATAGCATAACTAATATACTGTCACATATATATATATACTACACGATGACGTAAATACCAGCCAGGTAATTCAATTTAAGTGCATGCATATAAAATATTTAAAGTATCTAAGTTATCCCGGGGGCGTGTGTCTTCGATGTTTTTGCATTTATAAATAGCATGCGTAGTCGAAGCAAAAGTCTGGCATAATGTGGCATAATTGACGTTTTATAGTATGGCCAATGAAAATTGATATCATGTTTCTCGTCCACAATTTTCAAAAATTTGGAGTGGGATTTTTTCATTTTTCATTTTTTGTATTTGAATTCTACTTGCCAATCATTTCCTTGACCCAGTAAAAACCCCCATAAAAATCTGAAATAAATCGGTGTATAATTCATTTTAATTTAATACGTCCTACACTACAGTATATTTCGATACATACCAGGGCTGACATGAAAAATAGAGGCATTCTAGCGAGTAATATCTTTAGAAAGATACAATTTGAGTTGCGCTTGCGGAATGCAGCAATAAGACTTGATCTGGAGATCAATTTGGTGTTTTGTTAAGCCTATTTTTCAAAAATAATGAATAACTGATGAAAAATTTTCGTGCGGCAGATATAAATCCCATGTGGGCGGGGACGAGAAACATGATATCAATTTTCATTGGCCTAAATATGCATCGCAAAAGCAAAATAGAGAAACGATTCAAAATATATTTACTAATTTTAATTCCTGAAGCCATCATCGCCAACACCACAAATTATCATCAATCCACCAACATCATCATCTCCAACCATCCACACCGTCACTACACCATCATCACCACCAATGAGACAAAGGCATCATCAAATGATAGCATTACTACAAAATATACCATCACATCGTTCAATACGTTAATACAGGCTATAAATAACACTTACAGTAATTTTACAAAATACTTTCAAATTCTACTTTGTGATTAACAACGAACTCTTCCCAAGATATTGCTTTCGGATTCAGTTTATTCGTAAGTTTTATATCACGTTCAACTCCTTTTTGGTAAAGTTTGAACATGGACGCAAGAGCTTCCGCCCCAGGGAAACCAGGTTTTGCCATGATCAGGTCCACATTTTTTTAACCTGATTTACACTCGTCAAATAACTTAATGTGTCAAGTCTTTCGAAAATTTGCTTATTCTGAAAGACCGCTTGCTCTAGATACTTACGGCCATGGTAAAACCAGACTTAAAAATATAGTCGGCTGAAATTTCTACATGAAATTATGCCGACTTTTCATACTGAATGCAGTGAATTTCCGCGTAGGGGCCTAGGGCATACCTACAAGAGAGCTTCAATTTCCGCCATCATTGCCTAGTTCAAAAACACAGCTGGAGTTATCGTTCCACTTTTTTAAAGAGTTCACTGCATTAGACAGAGTAAAAATTTCCAGGACCATTGGCAGTACAGATCATGCTAACCTAGACCATTTTAGTTATATTTATGTTGACATTAAGACTCGCATAATAAGGTTGATGAGTCTGATCCGTCAGATATCGATGGACGATCAAATTCTTATCGACTCATGTATTAAGTAGTACAGTGGTGAAGCCAAAAAGGGGGACGACGAGGTACTTAAATGGGTCATAGACACACGGATGATGGGCGTACGGGAAGGAAAAAATTAGGGGGGCGGATAGAAATTCGCCCGACTTTTTCGGATTGTGCCCGAGTTGTCAAAAAAAATTTTCCGGAGAAACTTTCCAAAATTGTTGTCGACGGGGAGTGATTACGAAAAAATCCTATTTGATTGCATATTTCCCACAAATTTGACAGAATTTCCCACAAATTAAAATTGACAGAATTCGTCCCATTTATTTTTATAATAAGCCAATGTTGCCCGACTGGGAAGCGAATATTGCCCGACTGACTTTGCCCCCCCCCCCCCAGCCCGATACGCCCATGTAGACACACAATACTCAAAACAGCGTACCCATGACAATTAAACCCATACATCTTTTCAGCACTTTCCAAGCCGCTGTAGATCAGATGTTTAACACCTTGCAATCATACGTCAACGGCGCCCTTGCCTTGTCTCGCGAGCTCCGTCCATGCCGTCCCAAAACGCACGTCATTGGAAAAACCAGTGATCAATTATCATGCTGGTTGACCAATCGCGCATGCCGTTTGGCTGCATGAACACCATGGTAATTGGCAGTCACGGCAATTGACCATTCAAGGACCGCATTTCCACAACGAGGCCTTTATAAGTACTATTTAAAAGTTTTGGTATATAATAGCATGCATATTAAAATTGAGACGTTTTCTTGCCAAATTATTTTTATTGACGAGCTTTCGGCTAATCCTCTAATTTGTGACATGCAGTGTCACAGATTGCAAGATCCTCTAATCTGTGTCTGTTGTAATACCAAGGCCCCAGCGCCTTTATCGTGTTACTGGTTTTGTAAAATGTGCGCGAAAACACCACCATCCCACGATCACCATCATTACCACCTGGCCCATCATTATCACCACAATCATCACTACCATCATCATCACCACCACTACCGTCACTATCACCAGAACCAACATATCGCCATCATCACCAACATCATCATCACCACCATTATCATTAGAACCACCATTAGGGGCGAACCATTAGAAAAGTGATGGGGGGGAGGGGGCAAAAGCAAAAATAAAAATCGAGCAGGGGAAACAGAAAAGAAAATTCGAGCACGAAAAAAGTTTAAAAAAAATGACCCACCCCCGCTCGCCAACAGTTTTTTGAAAAAAAAAATTCTATAGCTAGGGATGATTTAAAAAAAAAATTATCGACACAAACCAAAATGTTTGAAAAACCACCACCACCACCATCGAGACAAAGCTAGGCGTCAAATGATAGCATATAACTACAACATATACAATCACATTGTTTATTACAGTGTGTTAATACTACTAAAATGAAAATATCATCCAAGTTAATTTAACGGGCTATAAATGACAGCTAATTTTACAAGATACTTTCAAAGTCTGCTTTGTGACTAACAACGAACTCTTCCCAAGATTTTGCCTTCGGATTCAATTTCTTTGTAAGTTCTATATCACGTTCTATTCTTTTTGGTAAAGCTTGAACATGGATGCCATCTCTTCCGCACCAGGGAAACCAAATTTTGCCATTTGATCTGCTGTTTGTTTAGCATCCTGTAAAATGAAAAATATTAACTATAAGAGCAAGAACGAGAGAGTCTGCGACATTTGTTTTTATTGATGAGATGGTTGAATTGAGACGAAATCCCTGCAATATGCAGTTGTTCAAATGAGAAGATCTCTTCACGTTTGACCATAGATCAAGACACCACAGGTTTTTTCAATACCTTGAAAACTCGTGGGGCTAGAACTTTGTTCAAAGCATCACACAGCTGTTCTGTTGTTATACAGTCAGTGGCTACTCCAATAATCTTCCCACCATAGTTTTCTGGCTCGTTGAATATACCTGAAAGATATATTTATTTCAGACAGGGTGATCATCATCAACACCACCAACATTGTTACCATTATCATAACCATTTTTTATCACAACCATACTTACCTACCACATCTACCATTGTCATCACTACCACAAGCATCATTATCTAGTACTGTACCACCACCATCGTCACCAGCAGCACCATCATCACTTTTACCATTTCTATCAGCACCACCCTCAACAGCGTCATCATTATCATCATGGCTATCACAGAAACCACCATCATTTCAACCAACATTACTATATCATGTCATACTACCATATCATCAACCACAACTGCTACCAGAACCTCGTACCCAGGCTCTTTCCACTACGCTCCTCGCTGGAGGAAAGACCTTGCATGGTCCAAGCTGGTCACGTGTCTCCCAGATTTTGGGAGATAACAAAATTTTTACATAAGGGTGGGGGGTAAGTTTGTTTTACCGATCTAGTTGCCGATCTCAATTCGATGTCGAATGCAACACTCAACAGCAATTTTCTGAAGATTCTGCCTTTTCTTGTTGATATAAAACTAAACCCGAGGCTGTGTCGTTGAGTGAGCTTCGAGAAAAACATCTATCGTCTACTAACGTTAATAAGAGTTTAATTTCAAACGTCCAGCCAGGCCTTATTAAGTTATTAACAACTTCGTCTCTTACAGTAGAATAACTTTTATGACGTATTTTATGAAAATACATGCTACTAAAATCTCTGTTTCATGGTAGTCCTTTGTGTTGCTTTATTCACACTCCTTATATTGTTTTGAACTCGTTTAGCAACACGAACGCTACAATTGCCTACCCTACCCCCATAGGTCCCAATTGTTAGCTCCCAAAATCTGGAAGACACGTGACCAGCCTGGACCAGGGTCTTTCCTCCACCGAGGAGCGCAGTAGAAAGAGCCTGGGTACGAGGCTGCTGCTACCATCACCACCACTGTTACCAACATGCATCGCCACCATCATTACCACCATCACCATTGATCACCAACACTGCTATCATCACCACCACATTATCTTACTTGCAGCACATCCTCCCAGATCTCCGACATCCATTGCATACATCGGCTTTCCTTCCATGGGAACAGCCAAGACGTACGAACCGTCATCCAGTTTTTTTGGTTGCATGGCAGTCAGGAAGTTATTAAAATATGCTGGCATTCTTACGCTGTTCCATATCATTGACCCTGCTTTCTCTATCATGTAATCTTCCACTCTGGCCTTTGAGTCAAAATGTTCTAAATACAAAAATAGTTGTTATAACGGAGGAAAAGTAAACTAATTTGTTTTTTAAATTTATACTGGATAGCTGTAACAATCAGTTCTAATATAAATTTTAAAGTTCTTTTCTCTCTTAGTATAGGAATTAACCTGACAGTCTGTGTACTAAAATGATTTAATATTAATATGCAATACTCTCCCCATGACAAGTGAAATTGTTTGGCTTAATAATGATGGAGTAAAATAGGGAACATTTGGGAACATTGCAGCTTGATGGGTTTAATATATCAGTTAATCTTAACTACTAACTAGCACTGAAATTCTAGACTATACAGGACCAGTAATCAACCCTTTAACTGACATTACATGTCTAAACCAGACAATTTTATTTGTCATAGGGGAAAGTGTTGGCACTCAATGGGTTACATGGAAACATTAATGGACCAGTGCAGTGCAGGAAAAAATGTTTCTTACTTTAGTTATGTTGGATAGGTCAAAACTGTTACTCGATAGTTTATTAGTTCTAATTATATCACATTTTGGTCCTGGAGAATTCCAGACTACCCCAAGAAGACCTAGCTGTGCTGTTTGGTTGTATATAACTGGAAGCAGTACATGTGACAAATTTTATGATGACAAGTTTTATTTGATTGTTTGGCAATTTTTACTACAGCAGCTATACTTATGATATTTGTGATGTTACTCTTAGTGCATCCACACTGGCAAGCTGAAAAGTTTGCCTGACCATGGTGGGAATCGAACCCCAACCTCGTACCCAGGATCTTTCTTTGGGAAAGACCCTGGCTGCGGCTGGTCACGTGCTTCATAAAAAATTTAGCACCTGAGGGGGTGTGGGGAAAGTATCAAATTACATCAACATGCTTCCAGTGGGATATTCGTTAAAAACATAGATTTTGCGAATTATTACGTTCAAAATACTTGCTAATTTTTGTTTATTTTCTTTGCTTTGAATTT